TAATTTCCTTCAATCCCATGTGGGGTAAATATAATTTGTTTACAATTTTTCCTCACTCATTTCCCAACGTACCCTTGCTAGAAAATCTGAACATAATAAAAATGAAATGGGTTGAATTAACCCAAAATGCTAAAATGCAGAAACCCAACATATTACCTAACTCTAAGTAAAACCTAATATTTGAGTTTAAATAACAAAAGTCCTACAACCCAAATTAAATAACAAAAAAATCTTTTTTTTCTTGTCTTAACTTCAGCTTTTGGCCATAATCCTAATTCCCAATTGCTTCGTCTTCTTAACCTTCTGCGACCCACATTTCTGCTGCAATTTTGCTCAAGATCCCTTTTTCATGGCCAAGTCCTCATCTTTTTTCCGTTTTTCATCATTCTCACCATGATCCTCCACTTTATCGATCGATCTGAATTCTCTCGACTCTCTTTCTCTTGAACCGCTCTCGCCGACGCCGACGCCCGCCGGCAGTACTGCTCCATCCGCTCGCCGCTCGCCGACTCTCTTTCGTCATACGTAGATTTTAATCCTGGCTCCGCCACTGGTAAGCAGACCGTAACATTTCTCTGAAAATACATGAGAGCCGCTTCTTAAGATCCAATTCGCCTCATACGATTGTAAATCCGTTTATTCTTTCCTCTTCGACCCCTAATATCCGTCCCTAGCGCCGCCTACCCCCGCCTCCGGTGGCCGCAATTTTCTCCTTTTCTATTGTTCGACTCTCAAGTTTCTCCTGCTGCCCGTGGAAATACGCCGCAGCTTTTCGGACAAGCTTTGGATTATCGCAGGTTAGCCACAATTGAGCTGAAATTTCTGAATTCTCAAATGAAACATTGGCATTAAGGCTGGAGAAATTAAGTCGGTTTATTTTTTTCTGAATTCATTTGTTTGTTCGTGCTGCATAGTTTGATTAGTTTCTAGACCAGTTTTGCTTAGCAGCCATTGTTAGAATCTTATTGTTTGTGGATTTAATTGTTGTATTTTCTTGAACTAGCTGTCTTAGTATTTTGCAAACACAAAGATCGTGTTTCATTTAGCTGGAAAGATGTTGGGTAGTAGAAACATTTATGAATGTAATGTTGAATTATGATATTAATGAGGATTGGTGAACAATTGATTTGTGATGTTTGCTGATTTTTGGTATTTTCTAGGACCTCTATGTTTAAATATAGTAATCTTTCAAGCACGTCGCAGAAAGTAATAATCCAAGGGCAGTTGCCAGGGAAAGCCGCCGCCGCCTGTATCTTGAATCGGCTTTCAATAGATGGCCGCTAATAATATGCTAGAAACTCTCTTGAATTTCTTGTTGTACAGGCAAACTTTTTATGTGATTTTTGTTTTCAGTAACTCAGTTGCTGAGTTACATTTTACATTAAGTGTCACCGATGACATTTTGAAGAAAATGATGGATAGTCTATCCCGAGTAGAAAGAAAACTTTGAGCCTAGTTATATGCTTCATTCATTTTAGCATTTGGGATTCTTCTTAATTTGTGAAATTCCTAATTTCTTTGTTGTTGTTTTTTTCTTTGTCGGTATACAAACAAACCCTTACAGTCATGATACTTAGTAATACCTTAGTCTGCAAAACCCATTATGAGATAATCGGAGTCGAGGAAGATGCCAGCCAAGAAGAAATTCGTAAGATCTACCGAATTGCCCTTCTCAACTCTCACCCAGATAAACTGCAGAAATCTTCCGAACCACACGAGAGGAATAATCACTTCTTAGAGGTGCAGAAGGCCTGGGAAGTCCTTAGCAACCCTGAATCCCGAGCCCTTTACGACGATGAACTGAGAAAATCGAGACTCGATGTCATGAATGCCGATGATGTCAGCTTGAATGACATGGTTGTTGAAGATTTTGGCGGCTGTTTTGAACTATTGTATAATTGCAGGTGTGGGGATTTCTTCTCTATTGATTCGTCTGAGCTGGAGGAAATGGGCTATCCTTTTACGAACAACGGTGGTGGTGAAATTTCTCTATTACGGGCAAACTCATCTTTACCGGCATCCGTTATTCTTCCTTGTGGTTCATGCTCGCTTAAAATCCGTTTAATCATCGATGATGATGTTAAACTCACGACCAAGTTGAGCTAATGATTTTCTTTTTTCCATTTGTTTTACCATTTTTTGGCTTTCTGTACAACTACATTTTCCTTGCAATGCAAGTGAGAGAGATGGTTTATCGATACTTATTGGCCAATTTGACATGTCATGTCACCAATTTTCTACATATCGTCTAGTAGGTTGTGCTCTGTCGAGCATCAAGCAAACGGAATCGGATTTTGAGGTTGATCATCCGTTTTTGTTGGTCGTGGGAGAAAGCTGTGAGCAGCGGGGTGCTCTTTGTTGGCCAAGTACTTGGTCTTCTTGGTGGTTAATGTACATATGGGGGTTCAGTAACATGTGCTTGATTTTTACGAATGATCCTTTATTCCTTTACATTTTCTTATGTGCATTATTTATGGCGACAAGCGACTCTTTATTCTGTAGTTGGTAAGTAGATTTTGGTCTCTGGTTTTCGTAATATAACATTGTCCAAAATCCTCAGAGAGAAAGAAAAGGAAAAAAAACCAAAAAGAACTAAATTGAACTCTTTTTATAGTGAACTAAATTTTGTAGAACGTAGGCAGTCGACTATCTCATCAAAAATAAAAAAATAAAATCCCCAATTCCTATTGGGTCGAACCTTAGTCGTCATCTTGCATGGGTGGGCCTCACCTCGGGCTGCCATCGTCCGCACGCCTCTAGCGAACATCTGGCTCGCACCAAGTTTGTCGGTGTGGCCAAGACGGTCTCGGCTCTCCAGCTCCGTAGTGGTCTCGCTCTGTTTCGAGCGCCATGGCAGGCATGGTCGAGGCGTGCAGAGCCGGATTCATCGGTTTCGACGGCCGTCATGAGCGCCTTCTGGTGGTTTGTGGTGGTGGTTCAACCATGGATCCTTCTTTTCCCTTCCCTGGTGCTTGGATAGCGGGGACCTCCTAGCGGTGACTCCAGGCAGTGGAGTGCTTCGGAGTGTGCTTGGAGGGGGCTGTGGTGGTGGACCAACTTGGACGGGTATGCGGTACTCTAGGAGTGATTTTCGGTTCTGCGGCTCGATTCCAGGTTGACCTTTGGGGTTTGTCGGTTCCGCTTTTGTGGGGTGTAGTTCTCAGGGCCTTTCTCGGTTGACCTTGCCTGGGTGTTTGCTCGATTTGTGGGGGTGATGGGCTTGATGTTCGGTAGGGAGGGTGTTGGTTTTTTATTTTGTTTATTTTGTTTTGTTTCTAGTTGTAGCAGGTGACAGATTTGTGTTTGTTATCTTTTTTGTTCTCCCGCTTGGGAGCTTCTCCCCGTAAGGGAGTTTTTCCCTCTCATTTTTGGGGAGTCTCGTGTTTTTTTTTTTCAATTTGACGAAATTCATTTCGCAAATCTTCTCTTATACAACTTTCTCTGTCTATTTTTCTTTTATCTCTCTATTTTCTATTGTTGTTATATTTGGTGAGTCGTGTTTTTGTTGAAAATATGAGCTCTAATTATCTTATTACTATTTTTTATGAAAAAAAATAGTTTTGGTACTCTAACTATTTTCTCTTTTCACTTTCGATACTTCATCTATTCACTCATTCCATACCCTATGTTAGGCTTGTCAATCAATATTGATGTTTTCTCTTGGTATGTAGTCTTTGACCGACGGCTTGTTACAGTCGGTGAAATCTTGGTATAAAAGGAGAAAGTTTCACACTTCTCTTGTGTTAGTAGGAGAACTCGACCTTTAGGCAAAAATTAGATTTATAGACTTGAAAAAAAAAAATGAGTTGAAGTCTTCAATTGAGAGTTGGAATTCACAATTTCTTGAAGTATCAAATGTTGAAGCCTACTATCATTGTGAGATCAAAGTGTTCTGACTTATTGGACTCCACATATCAGCGAAGAAGATATTGAGTTAATTTGCCCTAAATAATATGGGGTAATGTTTTTAAGATTTGAAGATCAATCTAACATGATTTTTCTTTAGAAGTTTTATTGTTATTATTATTAAAATAAATTGCAATATGTTGGGTATTGTAGCTTTTATAAATGGGTGGATCCTGAAATATGTAAAGAACTAAACAAATTATTGCAGGTTTGTTGAAAAAATTGAACCGACTTCAAGTAAACGAGCAAAAATGACTGAAAACAAGTAAACGATAAAAACGATAAAATGAATCGGGAAAAAACTAAAATAAACTAAAACGAGCACAAATTAATCATTTGAAATCACATAAAATAACAACAAAAACATAAAAAAAAAATGAGCTTCTTCCCTAGGGAGACACTCCAGTCGGCCATTAAGACCAATCACTCTCACTTCACCATCCTTTCTTCCCATATGAAGGTTGAACCCTTCTCCACAGACACACTTAGAGACATGGATGACGTTTTCTTGGACGACAACCTTCTTAGAGAGGAGACGTATCAGCTAGACGCTTCGATCAGCGACGAGTCATTTTATTGTACGGACAATAGTTCTCCAGACGTTGGTTCTTCGAGCGAGCACACATCCAGCCAGAAGCTTCTCCCAGGGCTCGAGGCCCACAGAACACTTCTGTCACCACTCCCCCAGAAGGGGTTAAGTCGACAAAATCTTCGTATTGAAGAAACGAATAATAAAGAATTGTAAATTACCTAAACGAAAATACTTATGAATAATATGAAATTTGAAATTATTAAAGAAAATAATACTATGGTAATAGATTATTTATAAGAAAAGAGATAAAAGGATTAATTATTAATGTTAATAAATGTTTAGATAATTTTAAATTAATATTTTAGAACGACACTTGTGAATTTAAAAATAAATAAATAACAATTAAAGAAATATCGCAATTGTAAGTTATTTTTTTTTTCAATACAAAAATAATCTATATCACATCAATTTCTATAAAGACTTGATTTTATTTTAAAAACTAATTTTATTTTTATTTTTATTTTTATTTTATTTTTATTTTTTTGAAAAAAGGTTCCTGTAACATTAAGATTGAAAATACAAAATCATGATAACAAATTATTAATAATAAAACAAAACAAACATTAATTAGAGAAAGATGTATACAGAGCATGTGCATAATTTCGATTCTTGGAGGATAGGTTTCCCAGTAGTAGTCGGTAAAATCATATAAAACCTACACGCTCTTCACCCTTAAATACTTGATCATTACTCAAACCAAAAGCGCACACACACACACACGTATATATATAGAGTTCAAAAGAGTCAGCCTTGAGAGAAAAACAAAAATTCACAAAGAGTAAAAATCACGCAGAAAGAATCAGAGAGAGAGAGAATGGGTTGGGTTAGAGGAGAAACCCTCGGTAAGGGTGGTTTTGGGTTCGTCTCCATCGCCAAAACCACGCAAGATCATAATCTGCCGCCGTTGATTGCCGTGAAATCCGCCAAATTTTCCGAATCCGAGTCACTGAAGAAAGAGAAGGAGCTGCTCGACAAGTTCCAGTCATGCCCCTCTATCCTCCGCTGCTTCGGTGACGAAATCACGGCCGAAAACGGGGAGAAACTCTACAACATATTGCTCGAGTATGCCTCCAGTGGATGCCTCGTCGACCACATCACCGTCAAGGGCCTTCCGGAAATCAACGTCTGCCGCTGCACGAAATCCATACTCACGGCGCTCCTTCACATCCACAAGGCCGGCTACGTTCACTGCGACGTGAAGCCTCACAACGTGTTGCTCGTCGGCCAAGACGCGAAGCTCGCAGATCTCGGGAGCTGCTGCTGCAAGACGAGCTTCGTCGACGGAAATAGTAGGTGTGATGATTTCAGGGGCACGGTTATGTACGCGGCCCCGGAGTCGATAGCCCAGCAAAAGTACTTGCCGGAGTCGGATGTTTGGGCCTTGGGCTGCTCGGTTCTACACATGCTGACTGGAAAATCACCGTGGGCTTTCGACAGCAAGGCCCAGCCGAAGGATGTTCTCTTCAAGATCGGGTGCAGTGACCAGATTCCCCAGATTCCAACAAACAACAGAATATCCAAAGAGGCTAAAGACTTTCTCGCAAAGTGTTTGGTGAAAGATCCGACGGCCAGGTGGAAAGTTGATATGCTTCTCGACCATCCATTTGTCAACAAGGCCGATCGACCGACAGTTGCCGGAAAATACCATCATCACCATAGATTGTCTCATGGCATTCACTCTTTGGTGCCTCATTGTTTTCACCACCCAAAAGTGCAGGCCTGCTGATCAATTACATGATCTCATTAGTCTTCTATGTCTGTATACACTCATTCATGATCAATCTAAGTTGTTATTCACAATTCTTGTATGTATCTTTTTTTCTCAACACTAGCTTGAATATATATTGATCAATCTAACTTGGACCTTTTATATACAGCTCGCATGAATATATATTGATCCTACACACAGAAAAAAATATATATATATATATATATATATATGTAAGAGATCATATGAGAATGATTCCTAGTGAAAGAAATAAGAATGAATTAGGATCATTGGATGTATCATATTAATGGTTAGGATGAAGTCAACATTTATAAACAATGGTCAATCATTAATGGCACTCTAGTAATTATTTGAACTATTATGGTCAAATATGTGTATTTGACCAATAATTAAGGGTAAATTAGGAATTACATGTATAACCCAACCCACCCTATCTCTTTTCTTCAAATCTCTCCCGCACACACAACTTCACACACACACACACACACACACACACACACTCCAGCGGGCCTGGCGAAAATCAGGCCACAAACCCTCGGTCACCGCCGCCGCCGCCGGAACGTTGCCGTTGTCGCTGCTATCATCCCGTCAACAAGCCGGAATCAACCCACCACAAACCTCCGGTCACTCCCATTTGCACAACCTCTCCCGTCGCTGCCCAATCAGTTGCCGTCATCACCGCCGTTAACATCCCGTCGAGCACAGCCACCACCGTCACTGCCACTGTCTCAATATCACGCAGCCCGACCGTCGAGCGCCCCGATTGTACTGATGGAGAGGGTCGCCGTTCCGACGAGTTGCAGAGAAATGGCGACCTGAACGGGATTGAGCTTGCCGGCGACTGGAGATGGGAAGCGGCAGCCGACGATGCTATCGTGG